AGTATGCATGAGATGAATAGCACAGACTACAGGCAATCTACCGGCTTACTAGCTGCCACATTAGCCATACAAATACAGGGTTACAACAAATATGGAAACAAGATATTGCTGCAGCAAGTCTCATATGGAATCATGGGCCGATACGACCCAGATTCGCTATGACGAGCCCACTCGGAATATTAAGGATATGGTGTAGTAGAATAGATAGTGAGGTTAGCGCATTGGGAGTTGGGACACCTTAAGTAGCCTCCCCTCGGTGAACAGTTCCGAGATGCATGTAGAAAATAGACAGTAATAGGCCACCATTCCTTTACTATGTTGTTTTGTTGATCGCCCATCACACTCTAACGTCAAAAGAGTCATCCCATATGTATACATAGCACCGGTCATTTGTCATAGCTAGATAGCTGAATACACATTAAATGATATTTAAAAAAAAAGAGGTGTCGAAAGCTAAGAACACCTACCGAAGAAGTTGGACAGTGAAATATCTCGGGTCGAGAATAGGGACCGTCCATACGTACGTGGGTTGTTTGTTTCGGTCAGTGCTTACCTTCTGTATTTAGAACTGCAGATTATTCTATTCCTGGCGCATTTCTATATTTAGAGATCAAGTCGATCATGATTAGTGTATATAGTCCTAGAATTCCGGGAGAAATAGGAATCAAGTTGTTTTTATTGAGTTATCTTTTACTTTAATTGCATACACTCCGCCTGTCACAGGTCAGGCTCCCAGTTACCTGACACGAGGCTCTTCTTGACTTCCTCCTCGAGCGCCATAATCCTCTCCTTAATCGGAGACTGTTGGAAAATATACTCTGTACGATATTATATGGATAAATATGATGAAGTAAAGAAGACTTGATATTTTACAACTATGGGAACATTGGACTTATATATACATCTAAGGGAGAAATTCCCGCTAGCCTCGTGTGCCTGTCAAACCTAGTGATGACTAGCCACCTCTCATCTACCATGATGAGCCAAGGTACACTGTAGTACGTAAATATCCAAACGTATAGGCGACAGTAGGCGCGATTAGCGCACTCGGGACATGTGTAGAGAGAGTCGATCTTGTCGGGAACCTGAGACGAAACAGGTAATGATTGAGTCCTAAATTCGAGAGTCAGAATTTCCAACAGAGACTCATGTAAAGGTTTAATGAATTCAGATGTACTTGAAAGACAATAACTCGATAAGAATTAATAACTTCTTCTTTGGGAAAACAATCTACCACGTACTCTCCTATCCGTCATATGCTCTGTGTAGACTAGTCTTAACTCCCCCCATTGACCACATGAGAATCATCCTTGCTCCACGGATTTCATGGATAAGCAGTAGGGTATAATTAATTTGTTTTATTTCCGACGCAGTCTATATGACGGTAGGCTATTAGGGTAGTATTTCATCTTGGTAAGCTAGTGAGTAGGAGTGGATGCAAGGGTCTAGAAATGTAAAGGTGGTCTGGTGGTAAACAAGTAGTCACCACATCATCTCCTATTTTTTTTTTTGCATCAGATTTTAATTGCGTATGCAGCTATCTAGCTATGACACAATATCAAAGAAAAGTACAGAATAGATGATTCATCGTTAAGGAAGAGCACTCATGCCTCAGATTTCATTTGCAAGTACTACTGCGAAGTTATGGTGGCTTTTTCTTCACCCCAAGTCAACCCTCATCCGTGAATACCCACCCAGGGGAACGTCTCAAAAACCCTGAGTTATCCAGACATGCCTCCATCATCTTTCAACTTTTCTCCGCGTGAAATATGATCTGAGATATCTCCTTCCCAAGTGGAGTAGGTGCCCAGGCTACTCAAACTATACCGGAGAACACCACCAGGAGGCAGACCACAACACCTTCCATCGTTTGCTTGTTTTTATAGTGTCAACTGCACTCTCGCAAGCGAAGTCTTGGCGCGCACAAAGCTCAATTCGAAAAACTCCTTGCCAAAATTCGGAATCTCATGCCTTTCGAGGTTATATCCTTCCTCTGTATCATCTTGTCAACTTGTCCTAATCCCTCTCACGTCCATTCCAAAGAACCGTCTCCCAGATTTGTGCTCCATGCTTTGCTTCCTCCGTCGGGTATAAAAATCGGCGTGGGCATATATTTGGTGGTCAACTGAGACCAGGGAAGGTCGAAGAGAGGTGTGGTCATTGGGATGAGGATGTACTAGGTCGTACTTTTAGACTTGATGAGACTTAGGTAGGCGTCAAACTCGTTGGGAGCGGAAAAACGACGTGGTGGAGTAATTTTAAATTTTGCCTCGTGGGCCAACTTCTTTGATATTGCGAAATTTGACTGAACTTGGCTCTGGGAGAATATTTCACTCCCAGGTTCGTAGTGTACAACGCGTACAGGTGTTCAGTCTTGCCCTCCTTCATCGTCTCCTGTGCTGAAGCGCTAGTGGTAATGTCCTGTACACAGTCTGGTAGGCGTGGGAGAGTTCTCTCTTTGCGCGACGTCTTCTTACATTCTGTACACATATTGTACCACCTCACATCTCCCTTACTTACAGAAGACCATTTCAATGCTATCCTATAACCATTTTCAATATCCCTTCGTGCCCTACGGAACGTTAGTAGTAAGCTCTCTGAGAACGGATCACCTCTTCTCCTGTACCATACTCCCCATCTGGTATGTGCCCCCCTTGATACTTCCTTAAGCGCCCCATTCGCATTTCCAGGAGCACTGCTCTGCTACAGCCTAAACTCGAAGACGGAGTGGTCCTTGTGAACAGTCCTAATCCAGGCAAAGCTCGTCACTACTCAGTCCGGAACATCGCTGTTCAGGCCTTCTTTCAGCAAGTATAAGACTTTATGGCTTCGTTGATATCCTTCATTGTGGTTAAGTTCTCCTTATCCTTTTCACTCATCACACGTCCTCTAATCTTTTTAATGGAGTCTCCAGGATTTCTAGATCCTTACCTTAGATCTGTCTGTGCTTCGCTGTTACGGGATCTAGTGCACAAACTCCTGCCGCTCACTATAGGCGGCCCATGTGCAATACTCTGGTCTCAGGGTCCGCTTAGTCATACTCCTGTAAAGTTATCTTTCCTTTCCAGATGCTCTTATTACGCATTGTAGTTTGATTGACTGATTTAAATTTAAGTCTCTATTGAGTCCTAGACTATGAAAGACTACTTAAAGATCTACTTAAATAGCTCTTCAATTAATAGGTTAATTTTTAATTTGAATACTACAATTATATGCCAGTTGATCCTGAGGGTCATGCCCTAATATACGCATTGTTGTTATTCTTGCGTTATCATTCCTTTAGGAAATCAGAAAATTTCGTATAATTCGATCTATCGATTAGATCAAGAGCACATCCCATAACATCCGCTGCCGTTGTTTGTAGTGGCCATTGTCGCTTTTCGCGACGCATCGAAATCTCTAGATTTACCCACAACAGCACTTACACCCGCTTTGTTGTATCGCGAAAAGTGAAATGATGAGTAAGGGGTACGGAAGAAACATAGGTGATATACAAGTTATTAAATTGGTATCAAACTATGGATAGCTTGGAAGCGATCAATATAGAGTTTAAGGTGTTAGGTTTATAACGGTTGGAGTTACTTGTTTCGGACAAAGATGTTTCGTTCCAAACCATGAGAAACTCGGTTCATGGGGACAAGTCGGGGACAGATAGAGCACTTGCCATTTTCTGGACGCACATAATCTAGATAGTAACAGAAAGAGAAATGGCAGCCAGGAATTAATTGACACTATTTATCTTTGACTTCTTACATTATTCAACTGACTCGTAGAGTCAAACAATTGGGGATAGAAGTAACATGGAACGCTGCGCAGCTTTCCGGGATAAACTGATGCTTTTTCGTGTAACTAAACGGTTAAGTAAGATTGAACCTGTAAAAATATTATTTTATTCCTTATACCTAATGTACAGAAGATTTTTTTGTATCTACAAGCGAGATGGTAGATACAAAATTATTACTCTGCGACGTAGCTACAAAGTAATTTGTCGGAATATCACTGATCTTGCCGAAAGCATCAATTTTAATCTATTTAAGGTGAGCGAAGAGCTCAAAGATCCATTTGAAAATTTACGGTCTATTATGTTAGATTCTATTCTGTAGATTGATTCCTGAAAACACGTATGGTGATGATGATGATGATTTTATTTATCGTGCCAGGCTTACACCCTCCATCCAATGGACATGACACGCATGGAGGACATCTAGAATACAAGTTCCTCCATTTTCCAGCAAAACCCATCCGGTGCCTGACTTTTCCAAATACGTGCCTCACGCTAGTTACATCGGGTCGAATAGGTAGGAACGCATTCACCATGATCCTAAGACCATGTATTGAGGGAAAACCTTTGTGGAAAAACCTCAATAATTCCTCCTGTACTCTTTCACGACGAGCAGCCGTAGTCCCCACTTAAACAGGCCGTGTAGGAATCCAACCTACCACTTCTAGAAAGCACATCCAGCACCCGACCAACTGTGCCAACAGCCTGTTGAAAATCACATATCGTCCTTCCCAAATTCTCCCCTGCATTGCGCTCAACCCCCATCTGAGAGGGCTGAAATTCCGAAATCGAGAGCTCCAAACCGAGGCATCGGTGCCCCAGCTTTTGTCGTAAATTGTTCGTTTTCTGAGTGAGGCTTCTTCGTTCGTGCCGTCTTTGGAATGTGTCGAAAAGTTGAGAATGTTGATGTCGCGGTCGAGGTGCTTGTCTAAAATGAGGCCGAGCAATTGCACAGTCCTGCACATAATCTTAGTAAGGTTGAAAGCGAAAGGAATTTTACCTTTGATTTTGGAGGGTTGTTGGTGAGTCGTAAAGTCCTCCCAGTCAAACTCAATCGGGAAGTTGTTAGAAGACTGAATAGAAGAGACCCAAAATTAAAGTTTCGGTCTATCGTGCCGGGGAAAACACGTATGGAATGTCAAGGATATAATCCTAAAGCTCCATACCCCTGACACGGGACGCGCATGCCACAACCATAATCTCAATGCGAAAAGTGTAGATGCAATCCACCCTAAACTCTTTCCCAGAATCTGTTTCAATGCCGGCTTCTCTTCCAACTGGGAAATCAGAATATCCTCACAAGTTCGCTGTAGCTTCAGAACTATCTATCAATGAATCGGCTTGCCTTGCATCTTTATCAGTAGCCTGCCTCGCAATAATAGCAAATGCATTCTGTAGCGATGGAAAGCCTCTTGTCGCGTCTCTCGCATTTAGTGGACTTGCATTTTCTATGTCTTTCTCAATGATACGATGGCTAGGCCCCACATTCGTTCAGGCGGGTCTGAAAGGAAAGGACATGTCTAAATTACGCCCGAAAGAACTCCCTGAGACAATGGGTGCAGTTTGTGCTGTTGTCTATCTCTTGGTAGTGATTGTCTTCATACCATTACCATTTTACAAAGATATTGTAGCTGCTACGTCAGGAGGAGGAAATCGTGACATCGTGGTTGAGCTAGAACTCGAGAGTGTACACACTGGAAGACTTTTACACAAGTTCCCACACAGCAAAGTAAGTCTCCATAAAATTCTCAGCTAAAGCTTAAAAAATCTAAACTGTAATGATTGTAATTCGATTGACGCTGGCTAACATTTCACACAAGCTAGCTTCTTATCTATCAGCCATTCTGTCACTCCAATCAGTTTCCATTTTAGGATTCTGTGATGATCTTTTCAACATCAGGTGGCGACACAAGTTCTTCATACCTGGTATCGCCAGCATACCAATGCTCATAGTCTACTTTGTAGATTTCGGGGTTACTCAAATTGTTGTTCCAATACCATTTCGGCCATACCTAGGGGGCCTCTATGACCTCGGCGTATTTTACTACATTTATATGTTCGCTGTGGCTATATTTTGTCCAAACAGCATAAATATACTAGCTGGAATAAATGGTATCGAAGTTTCGCAATCCTTGGTTATAGCTCTCTTGTTGGTACTAAATGACTGCCTCTACCTGCTAGTGCCATATCAACATCCTGCAACAGATTCCCATCTATTCTCGCTCTATATAATCTTACCCTTTGTTGGGGTCTCATTGGCGCTATGGTGGCACAATAGGTACCCATCTCGCGTTTTTGTTGGCGATACCTACTGCTACTTTGCTGGTATGGTGTTCGTCGTCGTTGGTGTTCTAGGCCACTTCTCCAAAACCCTTCTCTTGCTATTTATTCCGCAGATTTTCAACTTTATCTACTCGGTTCCCCAGCTTTTTCACATCGTTCCATGCCCACGTCATCGCCTCCCGCGTTTTAACGCCCTCACAGGACTTATGGAGTTTTCAGTGGTCAAGTGGGAGCGTGCCCCTTCTGCACCAATCACGATAATGGTAAAGCTTCTCCATAATTTTCATCTGGTACATATAAATACCGACAGCAATGGAGTAATCACTCAAAGTTCGAATTTTACACTGTTAAACTTGTGGTTATTCTGGTTCGGACCAAAGAGAGAAGATAAACTGACAAGAGAAATAATACTCCTTCAGTGTCTAATTGGGTTAATGGGACTATTCGTAAGGCACAACTGCGCTTTGTTGATATTTGAATCAGACAATCTGGGAGTATAAGCTTGCTTTCAGAGAGCCACGCCTATCTCCCAGTGTTCGAATTCAATAGTAGCGCAAAATATATGGCGAAGCTTGCTGAGGTATATACAGCTTGAGATAACTTAGCTAATGCCGTTCCTTTGCTTAATCAACACATAGGCCACGCGGAACCCTTGCACAAACAAGACATAATCGCAGTCTCAAATAAATGAAGAGATAACAGTGGAAGTAATATAAAGTGCGAATTATGATTTTTCCTTTGATAAATTTTCCCAAATAAGTCAAAACTAAAATATAGTTTGTCTTAGCCCATCCTAGAGAGATAATATGAATTTCTAAGAACGCCAAATATTTCTAGATATCGATATTAGGAGTGCAATCGACACTCAAAAAATGGAAGAGGACGGTGGCAATATTCACTAATCAGATATGGTTTACTCAAGTAAGGCCTTCCCATCCTTTTAATCTAGCCCATCAAAGGCGAAAGAACTATGAGAGAAAATTTATCACTCTAAAGATGTGATGAATGAAAAAACCGTGGAAGGTGCTGGTTATTGGACTATGATCTAACCTGACTGTTTAGATCTTTTCGAAAAAATTTTGCTATATTTTGAGTGAACTTGGGAATTATTTTACATAGCGTTTGTATAATGGATACTCACGTGCTAGACCATGTGCAGATTCCGCATTTGTAAAGTAACCTGGGAAATAATGGGGCCGGGACGCATCATGTCAATCCCTCTTAAGAAAGATACGTGGGACACGGTATTACGTTGTAAATGTTGACTGGAGAGCTCTAATGCTACAGATGAAGTCTATGTACTGATAGCCAGGTCATGTGACCTGACTAGCTTAGTTTACATGAGTAGGTGGAATAGTTCCCCTCGACAACTTCTAACAAATATATAAACCTCGTCCCACTTGAATTACTGGATTAACTCGGACTTCAGCAATGCGTTGAATCATGCCAAGTCTGACCGATCAAAAAACCATAATTTAAAGCGCAAAGACGCAACTTCCCTAGACTCGGCTACTACGCACCCTGTCACGGTTTGACCGTGGTTTAGCTAAGGTGAAGACTTAAGTGGAGTAGTAGTTTTAATAGAGGGAGTGTTCCATATTTTCTTGTACCAAGCAACAAAGTTTCACTCTGCCTCATTAAATTGGAGCTGGGAAGGGATAAGATGGCCAAGTACAATTACCAAGAGGGTTAGGATAGATGAAAATGTAGGACAACAAGAGACAGTGGCTGATTAATATTTTCTGCTCACCAACGGAGTACGTACTGAATGAGCTGGAATAATGTACAAGAAGCCATTACCCAGAGTTGTATTATTATCATTTCATTTTATTGTCCTGTCTGAGTATATGACTATGTAGGATACGCAGGTTTTCTTTGCCTACAGGCGAAGGACACCTTTACCAGTAGTATATCCCCTCCTAAACCATCCATACAGCCTCCCTCAAATAGTACCACCCCTCACAAGTCCTCATTCGATCATACACTTAGAGGAGCCCTTTGCCCTTCATTGTCTCCCCTCTCCGACCATCCAACGATGGCCATTTGCTGGTGTATGGCAGCCGGGAAAAATTGCAAAAAACCACTGGGTGCGAGGCTCTCCTAATACCGACATTAGGACTAAGTCCGAAGACATAGTGACCCTTCTGAAGTGCTCGAAGAGGCCGGCCAGCTGGGCGCTGCAAACCTGTGTATACCTCGGGAAATTCATAATCTACTTTCTAGCCTCCTACCCGAAGATTGTGCTAAAATTTCATGAAAAGTCTTGACAGAGCGTGATTGCTGTATGTTAGCTTAGCCCAACTACTTTTGTACCGTCTAGGGCGCTGGGGAGTGCCGTTTTTTCTTCGAAAATTGAAGTCCTCCTGGCTGATTAGCCAAAATCTTGGTCTTGGCCCCCACAAACGTTCCAAAATTGAAAGCCCCTCGAAAATATCAGGCCCAGCATGGTCTTCACAGACTAGTTCACCCTCTCGCTCCACACCTCAGCCGTCTGTTCCCCCTCAAGTTGCTTATCCCATTAGAGCAACGGTCCCCCATAGACCAAAACCCAAGCTTTGAAGATTATTACTTGGTTTCCTCCTCGCGGGTATACATAGCATCGTAATTTTGTGGTGTGAGATGGCCGGTTTTTGATGAGGCAAATGCCCGATTGCAATTGTAGTAACGCCATTTTTGGTATTTGAGGCGAGATAATGTAGTAAGACTGAGGTAGAGGACTCGTGCGAGAATGATAGGTCCAAAATTTGAGAAGTCGTCGATTTTAGATATGCTTGAGGATGCTTTCGAATTCGATTCGGATGCAATTCTTCTTGGCTATCCCGGATATGCAGAGAATACCGAGCAACTACACCGGCACCACTGGGAGGTGAAGAAATAGTCTTTGCCGGCGCATAGTTGTATTGCTTCTCTCTCCATATAGCATAATCTTAAAGTACACTAAAACCTGCTTGGTTTCATCTTATATCCAAACTCTGAACAACTTACCACTCTTTACTTCTTTAATGTAGATCAGCCCAGATTTATTTCATCTCGTTATCTCCTATTTCGTTTAGGCGTCGTTCTCCTCATCTGAGGCCCAATCTAGTGTGTGTGTGTGTGTGTTGTTTATTGTACTACTTGAGTCTATGACTATCTAGCACATTAAGCTCCTCTCTGACCCAGGCCACACCTTGTCAGTGCTCCATGCCTCTTTTGTTACTCGAAAGATCATTGATATATTCCCAGTGATAAATAGCCATTCAGCTCAGTGTTTACCCGTGGAATTCGGCCACCTTTTCCACGGAACCTTCTACCCAAAAAAAATAAAAATGGTAGCAATGGAAACTGCGTGCGCGGGAAAAAGTCTCAAAAAACGTGCAGCCCCAGCCAGGCGAGGTATAGACATTGGGACCACATGAGGTGCGCATATTCATCTATATCTCTCTTCTTTGTGACATTCAAGGCCATCTTGATCCAATCCACTATCGTCGTATCGGGCGCTGGGTACGCTCCGGAAACTCATCGGATGGCTTTTCCTGTTATGATATGAGACAACGAGGTAGTCGAGGCTAGGGCATTGCGTGTGGCTCAAGGCCACAGCATACATCACTAGTGTACTGGTTAGGCGAGCATGTATATAGTTTCATAGATGTACCCACAATAAATGGACACAGGTTTAGTCTTATACTTTCTGTCCATATACCTACAGCATAGTATTGTATGAGGCTACTCACTGTCAACCACAAACTATAACATCATCCACTCCTCATCACTCCGCAATGTGACTTCCGCATAGCTCATAACCACAACATTTCCTCCATGATCAATGGTTGGTGATGAGAAGGGCTCCGACCCTACCATCCAATCTGATTGCGGTTAGCTTTATGATAATAGTGATGGGGGGATGTGTTGAGGGATGAAGACAATATAGACGGCGAAAGCGATTGGAAATCCTCGTCGAATTGAGAACTTTGTTACTCAATCTCGACTCTGCAGACTCTACAGTGAGAGCTGGAGGTTCGTAGGGGATACCATTAACAGGTGTTGAGAATAGTCCCCAGGCCAAATCCAGTCGTCCACCCAGACCCTTTATGATATGCTTCCCATTTATTATTCTATAGCCAATGATGCAATATATTCATAGCTATTGTAAACTCACACTCTGCCTCAATAAAACAGAGGCTGAGGTGTGACCAGTGTCTGAAAAATTAGGTTACTCTACTGAATTCACAAATGACGGTGAAAGTTCACTTCACCGCCTACTAGTGAATCTTCCAATTTGTCAGAAGCTGTAATAATTGGAGCCATCAAGTATGCCACGCGAGGGGCAAAACCGATTACATGTCAATGGTGTCCTGTACGAACCTGAGAGTGAGATATTCTCCCAGAGCCAGGTTCAGTTAAATTTTGCAATACCAAAGAATTTGGCTCACAAGGCAATGATTCAAGATACTTCGTCACATCATCTTTCGCTCCAACCTAGGCCTCGATTCTGCAAGTACGACCAAGTACATTCTCATTTTTATGACCACACCTCTTCTCAAATCAGTATCTGGCCTCAAATAACCTCTCCATACACACCCGCAAGAATATGAATACCTGCCGGGACAAATTGTAGTGTAAAAAGCTGGGTGATAGATCTTTGGGGTGGGCGTGAGAGAGATCTTGGTAAGCAAAGTTATACTAATATGAATCTCTCTCAGAGTTGATTGAATTGATTGTCCTCTACCATGAGGAATCTATCTAGGTACTATATACATCTTGAGTATCCTACTAATTCCAAATATAGACTGACTATTAGATTGCCCATGTGAACTGCTCAAATCTCCGTTCCATACATGGTCCTAAAATTGGCTGTTACATTATCATGGGCAGTAGAGAAAGTGAAACAACAAGGGAGTTGTGCGAATGAAATTGGTCATCTGTCTAGTCGCTAGTTGTGACATTTGTATGGCTAAGTTATTGCCCTTGATGCATCAGCCCAGGTTACTTGCTTGTAAACTAATCAATTTCAACATCATGATACCACATTTAAATTTAGGGTTATCTATTTGACAGATCTTGATAAATGAATAAGATGATGCCAACATTGAATACAATCTCGAAGTGAGTGAAAAAGGTTGAAGGATTTCAGAAGTACTTGAAGTTGTTAACACTATGGAAATGAATAATTTTTCCTTGGGAAAGCTAAACTACTGCATTGTATCCTATCCTTTTTATCTTCCGCATACGCTAGTATTAACTCCCCCCTTTAGCCATATGAGAAATAATCCTTTCTCCCTGCACAACTCTTCTCCTGTATTGTACTCCCCCATCTAGTACGTTACCCCTTTAATACTCCTTTAGCGCCCCCTTTCGTCTATCTAGGGGCGTTGCTCTGCCACTACCTTACCTTGGAGACGGAGTGGTCCTAGTGACCAGTCCCAGTCCGGGCAAAGCCCGTCACAGTGAGTATAATTTGGAATTTTGACAATGAGTTTTATGGAGTTAGCTTTGTGCGTGCACCAAGACTTTGAGTGCG